ACCTTATCTATCTCCTGAGAAATCTCTATGTGGAACAGGAAGCAAGAGTTAGAACTGGATATGGAACAACTGATTGCTTCAAAATTAGGAAAGGAGTATTACAAGGCTGTATATTGTCTCCCTGCTTATGTAACTTATATGCAGAATGCATCATGTGAAAGGCTGGACTGGAGGAATCCCAAGCCGGAATCAAGATTTCTGGAAGAAATATCAACAACCTCAGATATGCTGATGATACCACTCTGATGGCAGAAAGTGAGGAGGAATTAAAGAACCTCTTAATGAGGGTGAAAGAGGAGAGTGCCAAAAATGGTCTGAAGCTCAACATCAAAAAAACTAAGATCATGGCCGCTGGTCACATCACCTCCTGGGAATTAGAAGGGGAAGATATGGAGGCAGTGACAAATTTTACTTTCTTGGGCTCCATGATCACTGCAGGTGGAGACAGCAGCCATGAAATTAAAAGACGCCTGCTTCTTGGGAGGAAAGCGATGACAAACCTTGACAGCATCTTAAAAAGCAGAGACATCACCTTGCCAACAAAAGTCAGCATAGTCAAAGCTATGGTTTTCCCTGTAGTGATGTATGGAAGTTAGAGCTGGACCATAAAGAAAGATGACCGCCGAAGGATTGATGCTTTTGAATTGTGGTGCTGGAGGAGACTCTTGAGAGTCCCCTGGATTGCAAGGAGAACAAACCTATCCATTCTGAAGGAAATCAACCCTGAGTTCTCACTGGAAGGACAGATTCTGAAGCTGAGGCTTCAATACTTTGGCCATCTCATGAGAAACGAAGACTCCTTGGAAAAGACCTTGATGTTGGGAAAGTGTGAAGGCAAGAGGAGAAGGGGATTCCAGAGGATGAGATGGTTGGACAGTGTCATCGAAGCTACCAACATGAATTTGACCAAACTCCGGGAGGCAGTGGAAGACAGGAGGGCCTGGCATGCTTTGGTCCATGGGCCACGAAGAGTAGGACACAATTTCATGACTAAACAACAACAAAATGCCATGTTTATGGATTGAGAAGTGTGCTCTCTCATAATATCCAAGATCTTTCTGAGAGATGCAAGCCAAGAACCTCAGGTGATATCTCTCATAATATTCAGTGCTTCCCAAAATTGGGACCTCAGAAGTTCTTGTACTATAGCTTCCCGGAAGCCATAGCCAGCACACCTGGTAGTCAGGGCTTCTGAAAGTTGCAGTCAGTTGATAACCATTGATGTAGACCATGTGGGTGTGTAAAAGCAAAGCGGAGGCAATAGATCCCTCCCCTTTAAAGAACCTCAAATGGTAACAAATATAGGTTTCATCAACAATCCCTCAGCACTGTCTTCCAGGAGTATTCAGCACTGAGGAAATCCTCAGTGAACAGCGTGTCCAGGGTTATGGATCAGGTAGGCTGGTTACCTGCCAGATAAACCATTTTCTCAAACATCAAAGTTATCAGTGTAATGTACACATCTGCCCTTATTGCCAAATGAAGCAAAGTGTGAAGCGTGCTGCTTATATACCGCCCCATAGCGCTTCAAGCACTCTCTGGGTGGTTTACAAGTTAATTATGCAGGCTACACATTGCCACCCACCCCCAGCGAGCTGGGTACTCATTTTACCGACTTCAGAAGGATAGAAGGCTGAGTCAACCTTGAGCCCTTACCTGGTCTTGAGCCGTTACCCAGGTCGTGAGCACAGTTTTGGCTGCAGTACAGCGGTTTAACCACTGTGCCACAAGATAGCAAGGGTGAAAATCCCCTTCCTCCTCCCACCCTTATGCTGAGTACCCTTGGAACAATTCAGTGAACACCACCACTGTGCTCAATTTTATTGTGGATATGTTCTAACACTGAATATGATAGATGCCTCTGATAGGTTAGAATTAGAGATGGGGGTATACTAATACGAATATCCCCGCGTAGCTGGAGTTAACAAAGGTCTGGCCCCTGGGGATGGACCATCCACTCACATGTCCACTGGTGGTGGTGGTCCCTCTCTTCCTTCCAATCACTCTGGAGCACTGCTCGGCTAGCCACTCGGCAGCCTTGCAGGGAGACTTATCCTCCCTCCCTCTGCCAAGAGTGGCTAGCTGACTGGGAAGAGAATGGCACTCGGGAGCGATTGGAAGGATGAGCGGGGCTGTCACTGCTGGCAGACGTGTGAGTGGATGGTCCAGCCCCAGGGGCCGGACCCTTGTTAACTCCAGCTGTGCGGGGATATTCATATTTGTATACAAATACCCCCATTTCAAGTTAGAATGTTATGGGATCTACAATATACTGTATGTACATCATTTAATACAGTTTGAATATCAAGAGGGAGACACTGGATCTTTCTCATAAAGGAAGATCAGAACCTGGGTGCGGGGCAAATTCCAAGCTCTGTATTAGGGCCATAGTATGCAGGGTTTGAGGAGAACAAGATGGTCTGGGACTGTTTGGAAGTAAAAAAACAACAACAGAACACTGGGTAGGAAGAAAAAGTAAGAAACATAATGTTCAGGACAGCTGAGAGCATTAAGAGAACTAAGAAAATTTAGAGGACAGCCAGGCACTTGGCAAGAAACAGAAATACTCCGCATTGTTAAGAGAGGAAAACACACCACCACCACACAGAGTCCACAGAGACTGAAAGATAAGCGTCTTTCAAAGATAAAGACTTGTATAATACTATGATAGGAATACTCTTCAGGAAAACACAGACTAAGAATTAGTTGCACTGATTCTCCTTTCCAGAAATTAGAAAAGGGGGTAGACATATACTGAAGAATTAATTTGCAAACCACTATGACAATTTCATACGACTTTCTGTGCATTTTACAAAAATTACCCCCTCAACTTTCTTTTCAATGCATTTATTAACATTTTTGTCCACATTCTGTAATAAATTGCTCATTTTGGATTAGAGCTCTCCACAGATTTTAAGATTTAAAACAAGTATAACACTATCATTGTTGATACAGTGTATCTATCTAAAAGAGTCAGTGCTTTACTGATGAGTATCACCATGAAACTTCTCCCCGCCCCCCAGCTACCATGTTAAAAACCAAATACCCAATTAATTGTAAGACATACTTGTTTTGGGGCATCTGCGGAGGTGGTGTGAACTTCAGTACCTCGGAGTCCATTAGACTCAAATACCACTGTGGGAACAAGGGGGCTTGTTAACAGATGAACATTCAAGCTTCGTTAGTGTGTGTACATTATTTGAGTCCATTACAGATTAACCACATGTGGGGGGGAGGGTGGGGAAAAAGCAAAGACACCAGCTCCTCGCCTGTAGCCGGAAAATACCAATTTACCGTAACACTTACTGTAAGAGAGTGTGCTAATGGCAGCCTAAGGCCACTGCCCTTTTTAATTCAGACTTCAGTGCTGAAGAAAGCAATCACTGACAACATTAATTATCAGTGTCTGTGTAAAGGGACCCTCTTCTTGAATTACTTACCATTTGGCCTCTGTCATTTTGCATCAGACTGGCTTATGTATGCATCATTCACACTTCTCCGAAAAAGAAAAAAAAATGGTAGGGGGGGAATAAAAGAAAAACTACTAGCCTAATTGTCTCATGTAATGCCACTGAGGTATCTTGACATGTTAGGATCTCAGCTTGCCAGATGCTCCATGGTACCTCACACTTTAGCTTTAAAAGGACTGAGACTGAAAAATTTTCACTATCCAGTCTCATTAGGAACTAGATTTTTACAGAAAAGTAACATTTAAAAACAAAACACCAAGACCCTAGACCTCTAGGTACACACCAAGAAGAGAAACAAGGGTTGTTTCTTTTTAAACATTTGGTTTTAAAAGGTTCTTTGATTTCAGTTTGTGCTGGTGGCAATAGAATTCATTAGCATATTCATTCCAGAGAATTCTGCTCTCTAATTAAAATCGTGTGTGTGTGTGTGTGTGTGTGTGTGTGTGTGTGTGTGTGTGTGTGTGTGAAACCTCTACAAATAAGCTTATTTCAGATACAGTGCAGTATCATGTAAGGGAAGAAATCAGGTGTCAGAAATGAAAAACCAGTAATGCTGATCAAATTTGAAATGATACAAAATTCAGAGGAGGGAAAAAGCTTCTTTATAAAACAATTTAGTAAAGGCAATTAAGAATAAAGGCAATGATTGTTAGCAGGATGCTTCCCCCCACCCTTTTGGAAGGAGGGAAGATTTAGAAAATGTACCTGTGTGGGACCTCATGTGGGTCCTGAGATGGCTAGGTTGGGTAAAACCCTTTCCACACTCGATGCAGAGATAGTCTCCGTGGCGTGTTTGTGTCCTAAGCATTCCTGTGGTGGAGAGAGAAAGGGAGGAGGGAAAAGAGAGGAGTAAGGAAAGTTGAGAAGAAAACATTATGCCAGAGGAAAACATCATTAGTATGTCTAATGTGTCATTATGTGAGGCTACCTTCAGGCCCTGGATGACAACTGTCAGCCTTCATCTAGGCACCAGCTGACAGGCCAGGCACACACAGGACTGTAAGAATGCATAAATTACATTGAATTAAAAAATGCTCCCCATGATGTGCCCGCACCAGGACTGGCATGTCAGGTGTGCGCTTTTCATAGCAGCTGGATCCACTTTTCAGCCATCACCCAGCTTTGTCAAGCAGTACATCAGGCAAATCAAAGTGACTCCAGCGTGGCGGAGACAAGTCACATGGATAATAGGAAGTGAGTAGAACCAGAGCCCGGCTGTCCCCCCCGGGCTGCAATACCTTCGAGACAAATGTGGAGTGAGTGGAGCCACCACAAGCTGATCAAACCTTTAGCCCTGCCTTACCTGCCTGCCGGTGCTGCTTTGACCCCAGACCTCTGAGGCACAGCGGAAGACATCTGTGAATCAAAGTGTCATTACAGACATTTTGAGAGGGTAGCAGCACAGCAGTGTTCTGCCAGCCTCCGACAAACATGTTTTCTAGGCCATTAGCATTTGTGGAAAACGACTCAAACCTCTCATTTTTTTCCAAAGGTCAGTTTACAGTATCTGACTTAAAGGGCTGGTCGTTGTCTTTTTACAGCTGATCGAAAAGGACACCTCTGACTTTTATTGGGTTATTTCTTTTTCCTCAAAATATTTGAGCATCTAGTTTGCTATTTTGGTAAAACAGTCTCTTCAAAAGAGGTGGGGAAAAAAGGTTTTTATTTGCCAATAGCATGTCCTGCCTTTAAAAAAATAATAATCTAGCAGCTGTCAGTGAAGTTTCGAAATTGTGAACCTGCCAAATGCTGCAAGGTTGGGGCAGTGGGGGGAAGGAATCTAGGCTAATACAATAGAACGTATGCTCCTTTTAATTTGCATTTTAGAAGGAGAAATGTGATACAGCTAAAGTATATTGCTCAGTGAACGTGAAACTATTACTGCTAATACTGCTATTTTCAGCATTAGAAAAAGCAACCAAAAATGGTAAAAGTAAATATTTGTATATAAACACACTGAGGCTGTACTGTTGTGAGTGGCTTGTGGTCTGCTATATAACTCATCCCAAAATACTAGGTGGGTTGTTTTCCTCTGCTCCAGTTACAAACCACCTATGCTTCAGTGCAACACTGAACTAAAAGGAAGAATGCAGTCATACGGTATGTGTATTCATATTTAATTGACTTTCCTATCTGTTGGACATACAAGGGATGTTGAACTTCACTACAGTGTTTCTCTTAAACTGCCTTAGCTGACTGTGGCCATGGCCTGAAGTTACTTTATGAACCTTAGTTTGCGTTAACCATGATTTTTGTGGCCAAAATCCTGTTGCTTAGCATAGTAAATAACCCTAAAGTAGGCCCACTGAATCAGTGGGAATTTAGTGAGCTAAACTCCTCCATAAGTTCCATTGTTTCAAATGGGCCTACTCTGTTTTAATACTGCTTTTACCTACAGGTTTTTAATTCATTTAATTCTATTTTTATATTATAATAATTTATTGTTTTTCACTTTTATATTATTTTTAATAACCTAAACTGCCTTGGGTTCATTTTAGGAGAAGGGTGGGGTAAAAACATTTTAAATAATTAATAAACAACAAAGAAAAAGCAAAGGAAGTTGGTGGGACAGGGAAGGATGGCTGCTTGAACAGGATCACCAATTACGTAGCACCATAATAAGTTATTAAAAATACATATAAAGCTGTTGCTCAGAGTGTAACCTCACTGGAGCATAAACAAAATACAATTTTTTTAGCAGTATTAAGCAGAATGCAGCATTATTAACTCTCAATTGGCAGGCATTCCACTGCTTAGAGGAGTAAGTCTAACCTAGAAGGGACCAATTGAATTGGTGGGGATCTTCAAAAGTTCCCTAGATTCAATGGGCCTATTCTGGCTGCAACTTCCTATGCTAAGCAACAGAATTTCATCCATTGAGTTTTAGGGACCAAAATGAATAGACCTGTAATTTGAAATAATGGAGAATGGCAAAGTTTGGGGGAGGTGTGGGCTTGCCCCTGATATTGGAATCACCAGAAAAACCAACAGGTTTAAACAGCTTCCTCTAGCCATACATCTAAGTGCTAACTTTTCTTTGTAAGCGATTACTCCCTGATAGTACAATGGCAGTTTCAGCGCTTATTTCTGCTCCGCCCTCTTGCCTTTCAAATTAGTGGTATTTATGTTGATGTTGTTTTGGTTATGCGCGATTGTATGTTGTAATTTTGATTTTGATTATTGTATAACCATTATGTTTTCTAATTTTTAAAGTGTCAGTTTTATTGTGTTGTAAACCACCCAGAGTGGCCTTGTAGCCAGATGGATGGTATAGAAGTCGAATAAATAAAATAAAATAAATATTATTCATTCCTATCAGAGGGCACAATCTGCTGCCTGATTCATATAAGAAATAGCCAATTACACATGATGCCTGTGTTACACACACTGGCTCTGTATCTATGAAATACTTTCCACTTTCTTTTCTTGTGCCATTGTTACAATGTTTCTTTTTCCCCTTCAAATATTACAGATGATGAATTGTTCTAATGCCTATGTCTCTCTACAAGGGACAGGATCTATTCCCCATCTCAATGAAAACGTTTAGTGTTATAAGTTCAGTGTTATAAGTACTGAACTGCAGTGCTATCTATGGAAAAAATGTTCACCAAAAATATTTAATTTGTGAATTTTATGAGGTAAAATGATAAGAAAAGAATGTGGAAAGTAGATACATCCAGAAATCAGATATTGCCTCTAAGGTGATTTTTGAGATCTATACACAGCTATGTAGCAAACTGGATGCAAAAGTGGATTTAGATGTGCAGCTATTTCTTAAGATGATGGCAGGTAATGTTAACCACATTGGAAGCATTCAAAAACAGCTAACTTTGGCAAGACTTGGGAGAGTGTGGCCCTGCAGAGGTTGTTAAGAGTATAACTCCCAGAATTCTTCATTGCTGATTATGTTGGCTAGATCTGGTAGGAGTTGTGATTCAACAACATCCACAGGCCTACATTTTGCACAGTTGAGTTCCAAGGAAACGTTTTCCCTTTGTTTTGTTTTCAGTGCCTGCCCCTAAATGTTCTTCTCTTGTGGAAAGAGTTCACCAAAGACAGAAAGTTCAGACACCATTGTTCAATAGGCATCACATAAATACCAGAAAATGGAAATGAAATAACTTCCTGCACTGTGTTATATAAATATATAAAGCATTCTTACCTCACTGCAAAGAAATGTTTGTAGTAGAAAACAGCCTCTGAATTGTTCTGAACACATATCCAATAAAATAAATCCAACTCAACTAGTTTATTTCCATACAATGGCAAGTGGGTGTGATTCTCTTTCCCTCTTGCAGCCATGGGCCCTCAAAAGCTTCTCCAAAGAATTGGGGCAACCTCTACATCAGATATGGGCAGCAAAGGAAGATGCAGAAGGGAAGAGAAACAGGGAGATTTCTCACTGTGCACGGTGAAGTAGCAACACTGGCCTTTCCCCCTCCCCCCCGCCGCCGAAAAACAGGCATCTTCTTTAAAAGGAAGGGACAAAGGGGCAACTGCTTCAAGATTTTCCACTCCTATATGAGAGCAAAAAGAGCAGCATTTTCACCAGCAACAGCATTTCCCCTTGGAAAAATGTTTTGTGATTTGCATTTTGCGTTTAAAACTTCATGTTTTGTGCAAAATGCAAGGTTTTCTGCATGTAATAAGGTTTTCTGCAAGAAAAAATGGTTTCTGCATAAAAAGGACAAGTTCTGCATTTTTTTACAAAAACATGCTGAACATGTGAATCTACATAATCTCACCTAGTGTGGGAGAAAATTTTTTAAAAAATTTCACTCCCACCTGCAACAGCAAAATAAGTAAACCTTTACATCCCTAAATGAGAATGTGTTTTTGCCAATTCTTGAAGGGAAACGAAGTTCAATTTTATATTTGCAGATCTTGGCAGACACAGTTTTATGTAGATCACAGTATCATTTTTGTGGAAGTCTCTCTTAGGATAAACTATATTATATTAAGAAGATGAAGATATATATATAAATATTAGTCACTTTTATTTACATAAATTTCAATTTCCTATCATACCAAAAATTTCAGTGACTACAGCAGGGGTAATTCCCATACTGCCTGTGTCACATTTAATATTATGATTGCTGTAAATAACACTCATACTAAAATAGAAAAATAACCTCTATAGATTTGAGGTGGGTTTGTTGTTTTTAAGCATCAAGCTGGCAAATAAATGTCTGACATAATACAAATGCTAACAGCTTCCACTGATATTCTGGCAGTACTTGTAACTATTTCTCCAAGGGATTGGGTAATCACTGTGTTACTAGAAGGAAACAAAACTGTGCGCTTGTCTCCTGAGAACAGAGGGCCAATTTAAAATGTTAAAGCCAAAGCTCCAAACCTGCCCCAGTTCCATTGCATATTAAAGCATTCATAAGGGAATGCTCTACTGGGAGCAATAAAGAGCCACTGCAAAGGAGAAATGTACTGAATATTCAAAACCAGAAGATGAATAATGCCTGTGTGTGTGTGTGTGTTTGTGTGTGTGTGTGTGTGTGTGTGTGTGTGTGTTGGGTGACTGAGTGTGAATGAAAACAGAAATAAAACGAAGTCATCTAGACAAGATGGTCTTAACTTGGCAAAAACAGTAAAATAATTTCAGAACCCTTATTATTCTCACTTCCGTGGGTAGACAGAACTACAATCACTACATCAGTTGATCCTTCAGATGGCAAAGTGACTGCTACCGCAGTGCAAGCAGGTATAAAGTATCCTAATTGTCTGCACCAGCACTGGATTCAGTACAGAGACCAGAGAAGGAAATGACAGGCAAGCTAGCAAACACAAAAACAACATACAGTATTGAATGCCAAGGACTTTTTTTTTGTTGAGGTTGACAAAATATGCATACATGAGCATTTAATAATGCAGTGCAAATGGTGCTGTGGGAAATGGATAAAATTAATAAAAACTACTTTTTATTTTTTTTTTAAGGATTAAGCATCCATCTTATGTTTCCATCTAATGGTTTTGCTCTAACACATTTGGCTTGTGTGAATGCTGAGAATACCGTATACTTAACATGTGTGAATATGCTACCTGCATATTTTCCCTTCTTTCTTTTCCTTTTGAACTCTCACTTCCTTATTAAAAGTCCAGAGTGTCCCTAATTTGCACTCTACATGGATGGCACACCCTACCCTTCCAATCTGGTGCTTTGAGAGAGCACATGGTAACCTGGTGCCCAAAGCGAAAGTTCAGGGGAGGCCAAGTGGGTTTCTGGGCACACCCCAACTCAGGAAACTGCTGGGTGTCCCAAAACTCAATTATGTTTTTATCACCCAATTTAGAAGCATCTTTTATGATGGCATCCCTGTACTCATTCAAGGCTTGTATTTTTCTGAGTCCAATCTTTCCAGCAGCTTCTTATACAAATGTACTGAATTCAGCTTGGAGAATTTTGAAGTAGGCATTACACTTATAGCTATCACACGCCATTCGTCATATGGGAACAGCTTCTATGTGGCTCCTTCTTCCCTGAAAATGTCAAACTCAGCACCCATGGGCCTTGGGAAGAGAGTACAGTGGGGTCTCGACTTACGAACTTAATCCGTATTGGAAGGCAGTTCTCAGGTCGAAAAGTTCTTAAGTTCTTAAGTCGAATCTGCATTTCCCATAGGAATGCATTGAAAACCATTTAATCCGTATCTGCTCTTCAGCACCCATGGGCCTTGGGAAGAGAGTATCTGTACCAGCACCGGGCTTTCCCAAAATGGGATCCTGCTGGCATCACCATGCCAGAATCACTTGATGTTTCTCTCACATAAGAAACTGTGAGTTTTTGTGGAAGCAATATTATTAAAATGAGTCATTAATCCGTTATAGCAACCATTTTCAACAGGGGCCATATTCCCCCCCCCCAAGATTTGAAAGGCAGCATAGACTGGAAACAATTCTTCACACATCACCTCATGCAACTTCTGCAATTTAACTTATATTTATTTCATATCATGTTTATGGCTGCGGCCAGAAATAGATTGAGAATGGGCGCCTTAGAGCACTGGTTCTTAACCTTGGGTTACTCAGGGGTTTTGGACTGCAAATCCCAGAAGCCTTCACCACTAGCTGTCCTGACTGGGGTTTCTGGGAGTTGCAGTTCAAAATCATCCGAGTAACAAAGGTTAAGAACCACTGCCTTAGAGCACCAAAAGGACAATTCTCAGGCCCCTCAATTACTGCTATGAAGTCTCCAGTCCAATCGCCTAGAGCAAAAATGTTCAAACTGGATTTCGAAAATGTTCCAATGTAGCTTTAAAGATTGCAGCAAGGCTTCTGATGGTGAGGATCATGAATTGCTATTGATTGTTATGAAAGAAATAGGTGCACCTCAACAGTTGATTGTACTTGACAAGAAGCTACTGTTAGGACAGTATGCAGAGAAAAGGAATGATTTCCAATAGGGAAAGATGCTAGATAGGTGCTTTTTGCATGACATGTTCTGCATATAGACTGAAACAATTCTTCACACACCACCTTATGCAACTTCTGCAATTTAGCTTATATTTATTTCATATCGTGTTTATGGCTGCGGCCAGAAAAAGATTGAGAATGGGCGCCTTAGAGCACGGGGTCTTACTCCCTTGAAGCAGGCAAGGTAAGCTGATATACATTTGAAACCCAATAGCCAAAATGTTAGTGTTCATGCAAGGTTTGCATAACTCTTCACACACCACCTTATGCAACTTCTGCAATTTAGCTTATATTTATTTCATATCGTGTTTATGGCTGCGGCCAGAAAAAGATTGAGAATGGGCGCCTTAGAGCACGGGGTCTTACTCCCTTGAAGCAGGCAAGGTAAGCTGATATACATTTGAAACCCAATAGCCAAAATGTTAGTGTTCATGCAAGGTTTGCATAACCAAATTGAAGCTAATCTGACGAGGTGCTGATTGTGCAACACAACTGGTGTGTGACCAGTCATGTGAGTGAGATGCGCCTCCATGCATTGTCAGTTAAGCAAAAGTAGTTGCAGCAAGTTACACAAACAACCATAGGAAACTGGGCCTTAGAGCACGGGGTCTTACTCCCTTCAAGCAGGCAAGGTAAGCTGATATACATTTGAAACCCAATAGCCAAAATGTTAGTGTTCATGCAAGGTTTGCATAACTTGCCTAAGCAAATTGAAGCTAATCTGACGAGGTGCTGGGGCAATTGTGCAACTGGTGTGTGACCAGTTATGTGAGTGAGATGCACCTCCATGCATTGTCAGTTAAGCAAAAGTAGTTACAGCAAGTTACACAAACAACCATAGGAAACTGGTCAGTGTCCTACGGTACCTAAAAGATACTGCTCCCCAGTCATTTTTCAGATGGTTGCTGATGGATCTGCTGTGTTCGGAAAGAGTTTAGAACTACGTGAAAGAAATCAAAGGCTTATTATGCCTTATTTTAATACTATCTTTTTCACCACTACCACCCTGATGCATTCACTTTTAAACACACTCATTTAAATTCATAGTAAAACAGAGGATATTATGCCTTATTTTAATACTATCTTTTTGACCACTACCACCCCGATTCTTTCACTTTTAAATACACTCATTTAAATTCATAGTAAAACAAAAGTAATATCCTCTTTGTTTCTGATCTTGGAGAACAGTGACAGGCTTAGGGTACACAAGGATAGGAGCAAGTACTCACCCCTCCTTTGCTTTTTTATAGCTGTGTAAACTTGATATTACTGTACTGCCTTACAAACTGTGCTGTGCATT